TTTTTTTTTTAAAGAAAAACTATTCTCCTTTCAGCCATTAATTGTGCTTTCTCATTCTTTTATTTCTGAAAAGTTATAAATTTTTTTTCTGAGATTTGTTGGTTCTTATTTAATATGTTCTCTATCCATATCACTTTTTAGCTTTTTTCCTGATTTATGCTATTCTTTCAAAACATCCATTATTTTACTTCACTAAAAAATGTTTGGTTGAAATTTTCATCCGCTCTGTGACCACATTTTTCTAGTGTGTTATTATCTATAAGAACATTATTAGGTTTACTCTTACCTTGTTTCCACAGTAACTTGTGTGGCATTAGGCCATATGTCTCATTTGTTCCCATTCTTAAACGGGGTAATTTTTCCTCAACTACCAAGAAGGGGCACCCTTGCCTCTCGCCAGCTCCCGCGAGCCCAACTTTCCCGCTCAGTACGCGGCCGTGGGCTCCGCCCACGCCTCACGCACGCCCCAGGCCCCGCCCACTCAGCCCCCAGCTCGAGCCGCGCCCACGCCTCTCACGAGCCGTCGCGGCCACTTCCAGCCTCTTACCTCTGGCTGGTGCTCGCTTTGCTGTGTATTTTCCCGCCATTTCCAGCTCTTCGTGAGGAGAACTGGATGATTTCGGTGAGATCCCAGGGCCTCTGAGATCGTGGCGGCCAAGCGGGTAGGGAATGTAGCCAAGCGGTCGTGAGACTGCTAGATCGTCATCACCTCTAGAAGTCCCGCAAGTCTTGCCCTCACAAGCCCTTAACTGCCCTTCTTATAAGGGGTTTCCTGTGGACAACTCATTTGATTAACACTGTTGTCGCTGCCCTTATACAAAGCAGGGTATATATAGTGGGGCCTTTTCAGTAGTTCTTCAGACTCACCTCCTGGTAGAAGTTAGTGTATTGTGAGCAATAAATCGAAATCTAAAGCTCATGGCCGTCTATAATGCCTTTGCATTGAACTGATTATTCAGCAAGTTTTTATTGTGAATCTTTTTTGTGACAAAAATGTTAAAAGTGTGGTGCAAACTAGCCATCATTCTTTTAGTGAAGTTCTCCATAAGCTACTTAAAAACTGTTTTTAAAAAAAAGACTTAGGTGGAGAAGAAAATATTACCTTCTGTTTGGGTTATTTTCCTAATGTAATTCTAAAGGAAATCAAACTAATAGATATTATATTCTTAAATAACATATTCATGGAACGAAACATGTGAATTCATTATATGTATGAACTAATTACAGCTCAATATGTTTCAGCTCACTTATGTTTTTTTAATGTGTTAAAATGTGGGTTTTTTTAATATGTCAATTTCTTCATTTAAAAATCTTACAAAGTCACATTTACATAATTATGTATCTCACCAATTATATGGATGGGATTAGTATTGGCAGAAAATACAGGATGTATGGTTGCCATCTCTAACACAAAGGCTTACTTGATGTGGTAGCAAGAGCCTGACACAGGGAGTAAGAAGACTTGAGTTCTAATCCTAGAGCTGACATTAACTAAAGATGGAACTTTGGACAAGTCATTGAATTTCAGTGAGCATCTGGTATATCTTTTGAAAAATGATGGGATTGGACAAAATGTTAAATGATTTTTGAAGCCCTTTCCAGATCTATGATTCTGAGTGTCTGTAGAGTAGAAGGGAAAGCGTACAAGCTGAGGCAACATTATCATTCACAAACCATGTTTCCCTTAGATAAAATATGTCCCGAGTGGCTAATATGAGATCTATTATTTGGTCCACTATTTCCTCCTTGCTCCACCTCACTGTATCACAGGGAACTATTAGGAAAGAAATGGATGGGTTTTTTTTTTTTTTTTTAAGATTTTTTTTTCTGATTACAAATTAATACATGAATTAGTCCAGAAAACTTGGAAAACAAAAAAAATGTAAAGGTCACACACACACACACATCATCTCACCATTCAAAAAAAGAATCTCATTGTCCCATTACTTTTCTAAATATATATGTATTTTTTCTTCTTTAAAAATGGTATAACATAGTTTGTGGTCTGCTTTTTTTCACTTCAGAGATGTATGTACTTCTGTACAACCAACTGGAATACCCACAATAATAGTGCCTATATCCCCAAAAGATAACAGAAGCTAAGCAAACATTGTTACATAGATTTTGGAACAGCTATAATTATATTATGCTCCAGGTTATTTTTTCTCTTTCTCTTTGTCTGTTCCAGAATGGATTGGTTTCACTGCAACCAGTGTTTCCGAAAAGAGGGGAACGATTTCTTTGTCACCAGCTGTGGCCATATTTTCTGTAAAAAGTGTGTGACTCTGGGTGAGTGCCTTAACTGTTTTCAGATTCAGGCAAAAATGTTTTTAATCTAGAAATAATGATTAGCCATTTCTCTGTGTGACTTGGGATAAAAATCACATATTGGGCCAAAGTTAGTATGGATACAGTAGGAAGCCGTTGATTATGGAAATTTGAGGCACCCATTAATAAAGAATAATTTAGCAAATGGAATATCTAATACTTGAACACCAAAAGTACTTGTCAGTGTTTTGAGACTTGTGACAGGGAAAGCCACAAGGTTATCGGACTAATTAGAGAATAGAGAAAAAAATAAGTGTAATGAATAGGAATTGGGGAAAGTTTGGTTGATAACAAGAGTCATTTCTGATGGGAAGTGGTCTAGCCTGTGAAATCAATTTGATTAGAAATGATGATGATGATGAAGATGATAATGGTGGTGGTGGTGGTAGTGATACATTTACAATTTAAAAAGTATTTTCCAGGGAGCCTGGGTGGCTCAGTCAGTTAGGCATCTGCCTTCAGCTCAGGTCATAATCCCGGAGTCCCAGGATCAAGCCCCATGTCGGGCTCCCTGCTTTGCGGGGAGTCTGCTTCTCCCTCTGCCCCTCACCCCACTGGTGTTCTCTCTCTCTCTCAAATAAATAAATAAAATATTAAAAAAATAAAATAAAAAGCATTTTCCAGGGGCGCCTGGATAGCTCAGTCGGTTGAGCGTTCAACTCTTGATTTCGGCTTAGGTCATGATCTCAGGGTCCTGGGATTGAGCCCCAAATTGGGCTCCCTGCTCAGCGGGAAATCTGCTTGTCTCCCTCTCCTTCTCCCTCTGCCCCTGTCCCCGCTCATGTTCTCTCTCTCTCTAAAATAAAGAAATAAATCTTTAAAAAAAAATAAAAAGTATTTTCCACATGGATGAATTTTATGTATCCTTACCACAGTCCCAGGAGGTAGTTATTAGTAGACCCATTTACAAATGAGGAATAGTTCAGATAGGATAAGTGATTTGACCAACTTCTTGCAGCTATTAAGTCTTAGAAATGAGACTTGAATTTAAGGGTTTTTTTTTTCATGCTACAATGCATACAAGGTATAGAAATAGCCCAGAAGAGGGACTTAGGATAGGGTGCTTTGATCAGGGAAAGATTTCATAGAAGAGCTGTTGCTTCAGTAGAGTTTTGAATAATAAACTGGAGTTGCCAAGTGGATAAGGCAGGGAAGATCATTCTAGTTTAAGAGAACAGTATGTATAAAGGCATACCACATTATAAACCCTTATAAACCCATAATGCAGGGGGCTACACATCATTAGGATTGGTAAAGCATAGAGAATAAAGTAAGAAATGGTTAAGAGATGAGGCTAGAGAGGTAGGCAATGGCCAGATGATGGAAAGTTCTATATACAAGACTGAAGAGCCTGAACTTTATCCTGCAGGTGATAGAGAGCTGGGGAAGTTTCTTTGTTTTGCATTTTGTACTTGTTAGCTCAATCTGGCAATAATATGGAGGGAAGACTGGGAAAAACCTTTAGTCCTCAAGGAAAGAAGAGGGAGGTTACTAGCCTCTGGAGAAGCTTTTTTTCTTTATATGGATCTCGTGACCCTTTTAACTTACCTGCTAAAGTAACAAAACTGTTTACTATGATAACAGCAGCTCACCTTGGAGAGGTTTGTCTCGGTGAAGCCTATGTCATGTGATGTTTTCTCTTGATGTGGCATTTATCTTTTTTTTTTTTTTGAGAGAGAATGAGATAGAGAGAGAGCATGAGAGGGGGGAGGGTCAGAGGGAGAAGCAGACTCCCCGCCAAGCAGGGAGCCCGATGCGGGACTCGATCCCGGAACTCCAGGATCATGACCTGAGCCGAAGGCAGTCGCTCAACCAACTGAGCCACCCAGGCGTCCCGATGTGGCATTTATCTTAATCAATAACCAGCACCACTACTAAAATTTAGAGAAAGATTAGGAATTTTAATTTTTACATCTTTCAGATTGGGTTAATTAGAGAATGAGAGCAGGAGACCTTCAAAGCAAGTTCCAGGAATATTAACAAAGTAAGAACAGGGCAGGAATAACTGGGGAGTTTTCTTATAGTATCTACAGTGTGCCTACTGTCAGGTTGATGGGGAAAAAAAAGAGCAACCTACAGTTGAAACCACTGGTACTCTTGTGTTCTTCCTAGTACTCTCATAAGTTTACTCTAGTACTTTTGCTGCCCCCTCATCTGCAGAAGAAAACTGGGAATTCATAAGGAGGGGATGGGTAGGGACGCCTGGGTGGCTCAGTCAGTTAAGTGTTGGCTTGGGTTATGGTCTCAGGGTCTTGGGATCAAGCCCCATGTTGGGCTCCCAGGTCAGTGGGCAGTCTGCTGAAGAGTCTGTCTCCCTCTCTCTCTCTCTCTCTCCCCCCCGCCCCTCCCCCAATGTGTGCACACTCTCTCTCTCTCTCAAAATAGATAATAAATCTTTTTTTAAAAAAAGAGGAGATGGGTAGATCTACAGTGTGAAAGCCGTACTTGTCATCAACATACAAGTTTGGAAATACTGATTTTGAGAACAGAGCTCAAGCTGATGTCCTTTTATAGTACAAAAATATCCTAAATTCAGTAAGAACCTGTTTCTTGCTAGCCTACTTGACTGTTACCATGTACTTTAGGAAGATCTTATCTCTTGCCCATAAGAACCAAACTTTTTTTCCCTTTCCCCCTAGAAAAATGTGCTGTTTGTGGAACTGCTTGCAAACATCTGGCTCTTTCTAATAATGTAAGTTTTTCTCCCCCTGCCACAAACCATCTTATCCCATTCCTGGTCTGTAGGAAGTATACAAGGAGTACAGTTAATGAGTGACTAAGCACTGAAATTTAAAAAAAGAAAGAAAAGAAACAAAACTCACAGATAGCAATTGTAAAAAAGGGGGGAGTGGTTAAACAACAGATAGAATTATTTGTGGAGGCTGCTATAGAAGCATGAGGTAAGGAGGATTAGAACATAAAATCGACATCTCCTAGGATAGTGGTGAGCTTCCTCATACTTATCATAGTGGAATAACACCAGATGCTTTAGAAAGAGTGATACAGCCTTTGCCATATTTGTCAGTATCTTACTTCATTCCATTGTGGATATGCTCAGTGTTTGTCTTAATCTCTTCATAGCTGAAACCTCAGGAGAAGATATACTTCAAAAGCCCTGTGGAGACAGCTTTGCAGTATTTTAGTCACATCTCTCAGGTATGAGAAACAAAAATGAAGAAAATCAGATTCACCAGGCAAATTCTAATTGCATCTTATTTTTTTTAAATCGAAGATTCTCTTTGATTTATTTGTACACAGTATTTTTGTATTTGAACACAATGGAGAGAATTGACTGTTCACTTGCTTTCTTCCCTAATGATACAAATCTCAACAGTTAACTTTTTTACTGACCCCAAACCTGTGATAGACTGTAAAAACCACTATGTAGCTGATATCTTGCCTTATACTTCTTGGTTCTATTAAGTAATTTTTAAGAATAAAGAAGGCTCTAGGGATACCTGGGTGGCTCAGTTGGTTGTGTCTGACTCTCGATAATGGCTCAGCTCATGATCTCAGGATTGTAAGATCAAGCCTCACATCTGGCTCCACACTGGGCATGGAGCCTGTTTAACATTCTCTCTGTCCCTCTCCCTCAGGTCCTCCCCCCCACCCCCAAAAAAGAATAAAGAAGGTCCTAGGAGCTTTATCATCTTTCTGTGCAGTCTAATGAATCTTCTAAAAATTGCTTTGGATATATAGGCCTGACCCTGTAGTCAGTGGATTTAGTGGGCTAGCTCTCAAATTTTGCTTAAAGACCTATGTTCAAGATGGAATTTCTTGTCCCCCATTCTCATTTTTCAGTAACCTTTTTTAGTAATGCATATATATTTAATTCTTTTCATGTTTAGAATTGGTTGCCTGAATTTTAGAAAATATTTTTCTTTCCTGATGCATCATATATTTGCATACTGTTGACTTGGTCAAGAGCAATAGGAATGTGGTAGGAAGTGGAGAGAAGATAGAATAACCATTTGAGAGTTCCCAAATTGTAAAAACTTTGGTTTTCTCCTTCCACTCTCCAGTTCTCCACTGAGATTATTTTATAGCTTAATGGGATTTCTATCTTGGCGTGTTTCTTGAGAAATTTTATCACTGTTTTTTCTTCTGTACTCTTACTTCTCATTCTTAGAAGAGTAGTCCTTTCCTTAATGTGAAGATGATCCTTTGTCATGTTCTGGCTGAAGATAGTAGATTTAATTTTTTGTTGGTGTCTCACCCTTCAATCCTGACTCTGGAAATAGAGGAAGGGGAATTAAAGCTTTCACTGCATTCTGCTTTTAGTTGCTTGGGTGAGCCATCATATTTGAGATATTATTTAACATTACAGGGAGATAAAATCTAGCTGAGACTCAAGGAGAAATGTAAACAAGGTCACATGAGCAAGAGAAAGAGCAGACTTTTGGTTAATAACTAAACTCAGGATTAGCTAATGATCAGTAGAGAAATTATATGTAGTCTGAATTCTAACCTGCCTAATCAAGAGACCAATTACACATGGTCAAATAATCAAGATAAAATAAATGGAAAGTGTCAGTTAATCATCACTTTAGTGAAGGGCCAATTTGGTGAAGTCAGCAATGTCTGAAAATGTGTTTTCCTAGTCTGTGAAGTTGAAAAACTGATCCAAATAATATCTAGATTGCCTCATTCAGGCCTCGGCTCAGATTTTTCTTTCTCAGTCAGACCTTTACTGACTCTCATATATCAAATGGTAGCCCCAGCACTGTCTAATTCTTACCCTGCTTTATTTTTCCTCATAGCTCTTATCTCTAACATTATATACTTACTTATTGTCTGAATCCTGCACTGGAATGTAGGCTCCATAAATTCAGAGATTTGGTAGGTTTTGTTTGTTGTTATATACCCAGCTCTTTGGATAGTTCTTAATATGTAATAGACACTCAAAAATTACTAAATGATTGAATGGCATATTGATCTAAATATCCACTGGTGTTTTAATCATCCCAGATCTCTGTAATGACCTGCCAAGGGCATTTTTCTGCTGTACTACTCCATGGCCAGTAGTTAAAACTTCCTGTTTTGAAATCTTTACTCACCTCTAGATAAAACTATCTAAGTATCTTTGGGGATTAGAGAGCCTCCTATAGACCTGTAAGCTTTCTTCTAATCCTAGGTCATAGACTGCACCCTTATCCATAACTAGTCATCTTTCAAATGCATCCAGTAATTGTTCCTTTTTCAGTAAAGCCTTCCCTGATTCCTGTGGGCAGATTTTTGCACTGTCCTTTGTAATCCTATAACCCTTGCTCTTTCTTACCTCTGCAAAAGTGTTTTAATTTATTTGTTCTTATGTCTGTTTCTCTCACTTAACCGAAACTTTTGAAAGGCAGGTATCAACTTTGTATTGCCCAATGGCTAATGAGGTACCTGGCACAAATTAAGTGAATAAGAAATGTTTGTTAAATGAATGAATGCACATTAAGGCTGGGAGGGAGGTGGAAATGGTTCAAGGTGAGGTCAGAGAGAGAGGCTTGAACCTATATATAGGGACTTATAGGCCATGGTAAGGAATTTAGATTTTCTTCTAAGTGACAGTGGACACCATTGAAGGGTTTTAAGCACAGAAATGGCATTATCTGATATATAATTTTAAAAGGGAATCTGGCTGCTGAATGGAGAATGGACCGTAGAGAAGTTAAGAGTAGAAGCAGGGAGACCACGTAAGGGGCTATGGGAGAAATCTAGGTAAGACTTCTTGAGCTAAAATGGTAGCAATAGAAATGGAGAGGGGTAATCAAATCTGAGATGTTTTCTACGAAGAACTGGTAGAACCGTTGTTGATTTGAATGTGGAAGATGAGAAAGAGAAAGGATTTGAGGAAGACATTTGGGTTTTTGTCTTGAGCAAAACAAGACAAATTTATGGGATGATTATACTCTTTACCAAGGCTGAAAAGACCTTTTGAGGGAAAATACCATTTTGGATGTATTAGGTTACAGATGCTTGTTAGGGCTCCAGGAGGAGAAATCACAAAGGTGGATAAAGTTACTATTCTGAAGCTCAGGACACAGGTCAAGGATAGAGATACAAATATGGAACTCATTAGGATATAAATTGTTTTTAAAGCCTTGGGACTGGATGAGATCACCCAGGGAAGGAGCCCCTTCAACATTTAGTGATCAGGTAGAGGAGGAAGAGAAGTTAGCAAAGAGTAGCAGTGAGTGAGTGGAAGCAAGGAGAGTATGGTATCACAGAAACTAAGAAAGGGAAATGTTTCAAGAAGGAAAAAATGAGGGCGCCTGGGTGGCTCAGTTGGTTAAGCAACTGCTTTCGGCTCAGGTCATGATCCTGGAGTCCCTGGATCGAGTCCCGCATCGGGCTCCCTGCTCGGCAGGGAGCCTGCTTCTCCCTCTGACCCTCCCCCCTCTCATGTGCTCTCTCTCTCTCATTCTCTCTGTCTCAAATAAATAAATAAAATCTTTAAAAAAAAAAAAAAAAAGAAGGAAGAAACTACCGGCTGGGTCAAATGCTGTTGAGACATGAAGATGAGGGCAAAGGAGGGAGGACTGGATTTGGCAACCTGAGGATTATTGATGACACTCACAAAGGCATATTGTGGAGAGTCTTGAGAAAGAGAAACACATTGGATTGCATTGGTAGGTATGTGTCTACATTCTGTCCACTTCTTCACCTCCCAAACCTCTTCTCAACCCTCTGCAGTCTGGCTTCATTTAGACTATCTCACTGAAATTGCTCTTGCTAAGGATATTAACAGCTTCCTTGTTATCAAACCCAATGGATACTTTTTTGTTTTTGTTACTGTACTTGATTTCTTAGCAGCAGTCTAGACCCACTCTCTCCCCCTTAAAATATTCTTTCTTTGGCTATTGTAACCAACTTCTTTCTCTCTTTTGTATTTATCTTTCTCTGTCCCTCTCTTGAATAGTTATATTTCTCAGGTTCTATACTAGACACTTACACTCTCCATGAATAATCTCATTCACTCCCATGCTTCAGTTATCATCGACATAGGGATCACTTCCAATTCTGTTATGTCCAGTAAAGATCTCACCTTCTCTGACTGCTGTATTTAAAATGGGTACCTCCTCTTTATTCTTTGTCCTAGAGACCTTTTTTTTTTAAGATTTATTTATTTATTTTAGGAAGAGAGGGAGAGAGAGCGTGAGAGTGGAGGGAGGGGCAGAGGATGAGGGAGAAGGAAAGAAGCAGACAAGTGAGCCTGAATCAGGGCTCCATCCCAGGACCTGAGATCGTGACCTGAGCCGAAATCAAGAGCCACCCAGGTGCCCCTGTCCTAGAAACCTTTTTGTTTCCTTAATAACACTTGGATAATTTGTACTTTTTGAGGTGTTTATTATATGTTCCATAGACTCTAAGCTCCATAGAGGCAGAGACTGGCTTTGTTTTGTTCATCATTGTATCCCATGCAAAGATCACAGTTTAGCTACCTAGGAAGCACTCAATAAATCTTTGCTGAATGAATGAGTGCTCCCTGCCCCCACCAACTTCAGGCATATATCCATTTGCTGACTTGATATCTTCACTAATTCCGTATGTCCCAAACTTAACTCAGTATTCTTAACACCCCTCCACCTGGCCCACCCTTCACGTACACACAGAATAGGCTACTCTTTCTATTTCTATCATGGTAAATAACTGCCGTCCACAGAATGACCAAACCAAAAATCGATAAGTCATTCTTGATTCCTTCTTCTCTTTGCATTTCCTTTTTTTTTTTTTTTAAGATTTTTTTATTTATTTGACAGAGAGAGACACAGCGAGAGAGGAAACACAAGCAGGGGAGTGGGAGAGGGAGAAGCAGGCTTCCCCCCGAGCAGGGAGCCGAATGTGGGGCTCGATCCCAGGACCCTGGGATCATGACCTGAGCTGAAGGCAGACGCTCAACAACTGAGCCACCCAGGCGCCCTTCTCTTTGCATTTCCAATCCATTGTTAAATCATATTATTTCTGTCTGTCTAAAATACTTGAATCTTTCAGGGTGCCTTGGTGGCTCAGTTGGTTGTGCATCCAACTCTTAATTTTGGCTCAAGTCATGATCTCAGGGTTGTGAGATCTAGTCCCATGTCGAGCTCCATGCTCAGTGCGGAGTCTGCTTGACATTCTCTCTCTCTCCCTGTCTCTCTGCCCCTCCCCCCACTCTTG